CAGTATGTTCCCATTGATAAGCTTTCTGAAACCGAAAAGGTATTCTTCTCTTATCGCTTTGAATTGCTCTCTCTTTCTATATATATATATATATTAGCGTGTTTGTGTATGCATCTATCTATCTTGTTCCTACTCTATTGTTTTTTCAGGTTGAGTTTAACTCTTTTTTAGTTGATTTTGTTTTCAGGCTGATGTGCACAACTTGGTAGTATCTGCATTTAAAAACTGGGAGGAAGTAGTCTCTTTTGAAGATGATGAGGCCTCTATTATGGATGGCTCTTTGCGCTCGTCCAATGTTCTTTGCTCCTCCAAGTCACCAACGACAGAGAGGCCTGATTGTAGTGAGATTTTAACTTCTGACAAGATTGGAGAATTTGATCACCCACAGCCATGTGCATCCTCCCCGGACATAATGCCATCCATCTATTCCATGGGGAGTATGAGTAGTAGTTTGGATGATTTTATCTTGCACAACATTGACGATATGGATCTTAGTTATGATCAACCTGTGAGTTCCCCAGTCCAAGTCGTTAATTCTCTGATCTATGACATCGAGTCCATATCTCAAGCCTTCCATGAGGATGGGTATCTACAATATTTCAATGCTGATAGTGCCCTTCAATCCCAGAATTCAAGTTTGGAGTCACAGGCCGATCTACAAAGTGCTGTCAACAAATTTCTATTGGCTCCTTCTGCAGCTGTTACCATTGAAGCTCAGAGAAGATGGACAATGTTATTCAGTGTGCTGAGATGGTTCTCGGTAAGGAGGATTGTGGCCAAAAAAAGACTATGTTAGAGAAATTCAGAGATGCTATTAATGGCCTTTCGAGAAAAATATTCCAATCACAAATGCAAATGCCAGCACTATTAAGATGCCAGCACTATTAAGGTCTGCCTGATTGAACATCGTGCGCAGTTGTGCTGTGAGCAGAAGTTCGAGCTTTTCCTATGTATGTATATCTGGTAGCTCATATGATGGCCTTCCTGTTATAGGACTACAGTAGATTGTGAATGTTTAGATTCTTTGTCGAAGCTGTGGATGTGGTAGCCAAAGCTCAAATATGAAGCTGCAAAAGCTGTCTGCATTAAGTTCAATAGATTGTCATTTGTATGAAAGAATTTGTTTAATAGATTTAGTAAATATTTTGCCTCTCCTTTGGAAGTGAGCAAATGCATATGATTTAGTTTTCTTGTGCAGCCTGCTTGTTACTTTGCTAATCTGGGATTTGATCTTGGAAAAGTTTTCGAGCTTGGAAAAAATGATTGGGTGTTTATGAATACATCTGTGGAGTTGAAAAGTGAGGTAACTGTCATATTTCATGCTCAGAAGTTCTAAACTTACGTAATCAGACAACCAATTTCACTAGCTATTCAGCTTCTGTATATAGAGACATGAATTATGGATTGAATTGAGAAGTGGGAAGGCAAGTTACATGGAACAACTTCCAACATTTTTAGTGGGTGCTTGGTTAACAGAAAGTGCAGCAGCTTCTGGTGCATTGACAGAAGGGGACACAGAGTGGATTTCTTGCTGTTTTTCTTCTTGTCCATCTAAAGCATAGTTTTTGTGGCATTTGGAAATGGATTCATCAACAAGATTTGACTGCAGCGAGCCGAATATCGATCATGTAGCCGTTGGAGAAATTCTATCGCACGGTCTTGTTGCTGGTGAGTTGCATTTCCTTTTCCACGTCCACAAGTGCAAAGTTCTACTACCGTGAGTGAGTTCTAATCATCCCATAATGCTTTCATAGTAAGCAGAAACAAAGTTATCTTCTTGTTTTAGAGATGCAATCAATTGCTTGAGTTGATAGATTTTTGGTGTATTTGTTTGAGTGAAGCAATTGCTAAGATCAAGCCAGTTTTCCCTGGCAGTCTCGACCTACAGTATGCTTGTCTGAATTTCACTGTTTGTCGAATTGAGGATCCATGAACTCACCAAATCATTGCATCTGGACCATTGTTGCAGCTATTTGACATTAGTTGGTGGTTTGAGGGTACCATCAACAAATCCAAACTTATTTTTTGTGCGGAGCGTTAAGGTGTGAAGTCATGTGCTGAAGTTCTCTCCCATGAGAAGTGGAGAGACAAGGACTGTGGTAGGATTATCACTTTTAATTTAGCTCTTTTTATTAATTTTATTTTTTATTAACACTTTTAGTTGGTACTCAAGTAAATAATGAACTATAAAGTTAAAATTGGAGTCGAAATAGAACATATATAGAATCAAGGACAAGAGCCCAGACAGTCAAAGTCGGAGTCAAACCCAATCAGAATGCTGGCTGATTCAGGGGCCACAAATTGCAACATTTTTTCTTTTCCCGGTTTCCCAATCACCTCTAAGAGTATCCGCATCAGCCTCTCTGGAATTTTGTTCTCTAAAAATGTTACTTTAGCTTTTCCAAGAGCCACGTCAGCAATTCCCAAAGCCAAATGTCAATGGTGGGTGTGCCAGTGATGAGATGTGCAGGAGGGATTTGAAGAAGGTAGAGGCTGCCATGTGCACTACCCAGTCCAATCATCTTCTTCACGGACAGGTCGTGAAACACACATCGATCATGGAAAATAGTTACTGAATATGGGTGAGTTTTTGTGAGTTGACTGATAGATAAGAGATTAAACGAAATGAAGGTAGAAGACATATGGTCGGGTTGGAAAGCTGAAAAAAATTTACAATTGCAATATGAGTGACTTGGGCTTGTGAATCATCAGGTAATTGAACAGGAGTGGAGCACATGTGATTAGAGGCTCTAGTGTCAATAATCCAAGTAGAATCTAATGCAGCAAGTGCTATACCTACTAAGTTTTCTTGGGGATTGATGCTACCTGAAGAAAGCATAGCAAGAATTTTGTTGTATTGCTCCGTCCTGTGTGATTACTGGTGGTGAGACCAGTGCCCGTTCATTAGATTGGTGAGGTCTTGAGGGAGATGGCGTTGAAATATTCTGGTTTCGATGAGGGTTCTGTGATCTATCATTGGGAAAATCATAAAGCTTATAACATACATATTTTGTGTGATTGTTGTAGCCACAATAAATACAGTGCAAATTCGATTTTCCATTGCGACGATTGTCCCTTCCATTAATTTGTTGGCTGCTGTTTGACCGGTTTAATGAGTGTGTACTTGCATTGGCACGATTTGTGGAAGAACTTTCAACATTATTAGTGGGTGTAGGGTTAACAGAAAGTGCAGCTGCTTTTGGTGCAGTGACAGATGGGGATAATGAGCGGATTTCTTGCTGTTTTTCTTCTTGTCGAACTAGAGCATAGATTCTTATGGCATTTGAAAATGGATCCATCAACAAGATTTGACTGTGGAGATCCGAATATCGATCATGTAGCCCTTGGAGAAATTCCATTGCTCGGTCTTGTTGCTGTTGAGTTGCATTTCCCTTTCCATGTCCACAAGTGCAAGGTTTTACTACCTTGAGTGAGTTCAACTCATCCCATAATGCTTCCATCTTTGTGCAGTAAGCAGAAATAGAGTAATCTTCTTGTTTTAGAGATGCAATCGATTGCTTGAGTTGATAGATTTTCGGCGCATTTGTTTAAGTGAAGCAATCGCTAAGATCAAGCCAGATTTCCCTAGTACTCTCGATGTATAGTATGCTTGCCCGAATTTCAGTATTTGTTGAATTGAGGATCTATGAACTCACCAAATAATTGCATATCTACCATTGTTGCTGCTCTTTGACATCAGTTGGTGGTTTGAGGGTACCATTAAGAAACCCAAACCTATTCTTTGCGCAGAATGCCATTGTTGTGGCGCAAAGTCACGTGTTGAAGTTGTTTCCCGTGAGAAGTGGTGAGACAAGGAGTGTGGTAGGATTATCAAAGTGATGAACGAAGAACGCATCGTTAGAATAATTGTTCAATCCTAGGTCATCAGCGTTAGGAACTCCTATATCTGCCATGAGAGATGGATCTTTCATGGCTCTAATACCGTATGAAAATAAATATGGTTGGGAATGAAAAATTGTTTAACTGGTTTTGCCTTTCTTGTTTAGAAAACCGCTGATTCAATCTTTATATAAAGATGTTTAATACAATAAATCTTGACATAAATTGACAGCTCACAAATTCCAAAATTATAGATAACAAAACAAACGTACAGGTTACAAATAAAGAAGTATATTTCTATATTTGATTTTCAAATCTGTATTATTTGTCTTTTGCTAAGGTCCTAGGAAGTGAGAAGGATCGTCATTTCTACACAATAAAGGTTAAGACAACTAGGTTTAAAGTCTAATTTAATAAGCTATTGAGTAGGAGTTGCTAATATTCTTTACTTGAGGTTTTGATTTAAGTGATGCACATAATTTACATACAATTGTGGTATTTATTATTATTATTATTTTTTCCTAGTTGAGACTCACAGGTTCGAACACCTTGTACCGCTACGCTGCATACCTGTTAGTTATTTATTACTAATTTGGACACAATGTAAAAGTAAATGTTATTGGCATATTACAATACTAGTAAGTAGTAAATATTGAATATTTCCCACGGAATTAAATACTTGATTAAATAACAAATCAAGATGAATAATTTAATCATAAATAATTAATTAGATTATTGGACCAAATCAGGAAAAAAAAAGGAAGAAATATTAGCAATATAATATTTAATAAATGAGTAAAATGGTATTATTGTTCATAATTACATAACTAAAATAAATTAATAATTATAAGATATAAAGAGAAAAAAATAAATTGCAAGAATGCCTATATTGGCCTTGGATAAAAAAAATTCTCTTCAAATTATAGTCTGAGTAAACAGCAATTTGATGTTGTTGATAAATTTAGCTATTTTTTATTAACACTTATAGTTGATACTCCAGTAAATAATGAATGATAAAGTTAAAATTGGAGTCGACGAAATAGACAACAAATAGAATCTGACATCAATAACCCCAAAGGACAAGGACCGAGAAAGTCAAAGTCAAAGGCAATAGAGAATGCTGATTCAGGGGTCCATTCCTTCCATCACCACCCGACCCGGTTCTCTCTCTCTCTCTCTAGACTCTAGTTCACGGTCCGACTGCAATATTGTTTCTGTTCCCAGTTTCCCAATCACCTCTAACTCTAACTCTAACTCTGACCAGACCACAACACAACACAACACCACCCTCTCTTTGTTTTGGCCTATAAATGGACCTTGCACTCCAACTGTGCTCTCTCATCCTCTTCCTTCACACTTTCCCAACACCACCAGAGATACCCACATACATTTGCAATTGCAATTTCAGAGGGGTAGAGAGAGAAAACGATGATGATTCTGGGGTTGACTTTCTTTGTCTCTCTGTTAGGCTTTGTTCTTCTCCATATTTTGCGAGACAGGAGCAAGAGAAACCGCCAAAAGAAAGCTACTAGTAGTACTGCGTTTGAGATCCGGGGCAACAGTAGAGAATTCTGCCCGGACAAATCTGACGTCATCATTGTCGGAGCTGGGGTTGCCGGTGCCGCACTCGCTCACACCCTCGGAAAGGTGAGATTAATGTCTACCTTTTCCAACTGTTTGTTTGCTCGAAAAATACTTGGATGGAGTAAATTTTCTTATTTAGTATACAACTTGTATATATAGAACAATTTTTGGAGATGACATAGACTGGTTTATGTAGTAGTTCTCTATATATGTAAAAGCCCTTCAATTCAATTTACTACTACATTCTTGTAAATTTTTTTTTTTGCTACTTGTTGCACTCAGGACGGACGACAAGTTCATGTGATTGAGAGAGATTTGACAGAGCCTGACAGAATTGTTGGTGAACTGCTACAACCAGGTGGATACTTGAAGCTCATTGAATTGGGCCTTGAAGGTATTCATGCGTTTTAGAGTTTATTACAGCCTAGCTAGCTCCTATTAAACTTAATTGGCAATTGGTCCTGCCTTGCCTGCTCTTCTTTATCTAGAGACATTATTGATTTGGCTGTGAAATATATCTAAAACACAAGCATCCACTTCAACTACAGATTGTGTGGAGGAAATTGATGCCCAGCCAGTATTTGGATATGCTCTTTTTAAAGATGGCAGAAGTACTAAACTGTCATATCCCCTCGACAAATTTCATTCTGATGTGGCTGGGAGAAGCTTCCACAACGGGCGCTTCATACAGAGAATGAGGGAAAAAGCTGCTACACTTCCCAAGTAAGTGTAATTTTTTTCTTTTCCTTTGGACATTTCTTTTCTCAGTGAGTTTCCCCTAATTATAATTTTATGATGTTACTTGTTTTTGGTTCCATTTTCCCTTTTTGACATGGAATTTTCTATTTAGCGTACGTCTTGAGCAAGGAACAGTGACATCCCTGCTTGAAGAAAACGGAGCTGTTAAGGGGATACGGTACAAAACTAAGACTGGTCAGGAGGTTAGAGCGTATGCTCCCCTTACAATTGTTTGCGATGGCTGCTTTTCAAATTTGCGACGCTCTCTTTGCAACCCTAAGGTACGTACAACTCTGAATTCTTTGTCTGTTGTTCAAACTTTCTTCCTTTGTCACTAAAATATTTCTGGCCATTATTTATATTCTCTCAATTTTATTCACATATTTTTTGCTCCAGACCCATGAAATAAACTTCCCTATTTTTTGAGTTCCACAGGTGGATGTGCCATCTTGCTTTGTTGCTTTGATCCTTGAGAACTGCCAACTTCCATTTCCAAAACATGGGCACGTTATTTTAGCAGATCCGTCACCCATCTTATTTTATCAAATCAGTACTTCTGAGATTCGTTGTTTGGTTGATGTACCTGGTCAAAAGCTACCTTCTATTGGCAATGGTGAAATGGCCACCTATTTGAAAACCACAGTGGCTCCCCAGGTACCTATAATATAGTTTCTTACTACACAATTTTTAGGTTTTTGAAATATCATATATGCCCTATTATTGTGGTTATTATTTACTTAAAATTTCATTTCCCCATCTCATTTTTATCTTTTACCTTGGATTAATTGAATATGGCGCTTGTATCAGATACCACCTGAGGTGCATGATGCTTTTATAGCTGCAATTGAAAAAGGAAATATTAAAACAATGCCGAATAGAAGTATGCCGGCTGCTCCCCTTCCTACCCCTGGAGCCCTTTTAATGGGTGATGCTTTCAACATGCGTCATCCTTTAACTGGTGGAGGAATGACTGTCGCACTTTCTGATATTGTTGTATTGCGAAATCTTCTTAAGCCGCTACATGACCTGAGTGATGCAGATTCTCTGTGCACATATCTTGAATCATTTTACACCTTGCGCAAGGTAAGCTAAGTTCATATTCTGGTGGTGTTATTCTAACATGAAAACACTAAAAGTTCCAAAGCAAAACTAATTAAGTGAAGGAGAATGCAATAGTCATAATATATAGACATTATAAAACTTCTAGATTCGATTTTTTCAAGTGGTTTTGGGTGGAGGGTTGATATTAATGCTCCAATAGATGCTGATCTCCATTTCTTGTTCCCATATATATTAAGAACTGGAGTAACTGAGGCTTTTCCTAGAGTGCCAATTTTATTTCTCATTTATTTCTTTAACTGCCCAAAAAAATTATTGAAATGAAAAAACATTGTGTATCAGAGACTTTTTTTTTTCACCCTTTATCAACATAGTAAGTAATTTTTTTTTGACCTGACAAGGAGAGTTAGTAGTTAGTAGGGTTAGGGAAAGGGGATTCGAACCTAGGATTATAAGGTGGGGGGCACTTAAGGTCGGACCCTTTATCACTCGAACAACCCCCCACACCTAACATGGTATCTAATTATTATGTTTTGCTTTTTCGCAGCCAGTGGCATCCACAATAAATACTTTGGCAGGAGCCCTATACAAAGTGTTCTGTGCATCCTCTGATCAAGCAAGTAAGGAAATGCGCCAAGCATGTTTTGACTATCTGAGCCTTGGAGGTGTTTGTTCAACTGGACCTGTGGCTCTGCTCTCTGGTCTAAACCCTCGCCCGCTAAGCTTAGTTCTCCATTTCTTTTTTGTGGCTTTATATGGTGTTGGTCGTCTGTTGCTACCTTTTCCTTCACCTAAACGCATGTATATTGGAGCCAGATTGATTTTGGTAGGTAGCTGTGCTCTTCCTTATAGTTTATGAAATACAGAACACGCTGTCTTCTCTTACGTGCTATGCCTTAATTTCACCTCTGTTATGATCCATGTAGACTACAGTTAATTTTTGAGCATTGATACTGAAGATGCATTAACTGAAAGATCAATTTTTATTTCTTGATTGAATTATATATAGAGTTTTCATCAGCAACTTTGTGTTTTCAGGGTGCATCGGGTATCATTTTTCCCATCATAGAGGCTGAAGGAGTTAGACAAGTGTTCTTCCCTGCAACCATTCCAGCATATTATAGAGCTCCTCCTCTATAATAAATATCAAGCTGACTTATGCTTGAAGCTTTTATCTTAACTACCTTCCACATCTGATAGCGACGGAGATATATTTGTATTCTTATTTCTTCCATTGTAGAGGAATGCTGAGAAATTTTTTGAATTTTTCTGACAACTAGAAACTGAAAATCAAATTTATCAATGTGAAGTTCTCTTAGAAATGTAAAAAGTATTTCTTCCAACTTGACGTTCATTGTGCTATATACATTACTAATGGGCATGTTCTTACTTCGTACCAATGCCTGAATGAAAATTGTTCATAGTATCGTAGTCTTCATACTATTGTTCATAGTTTTAAAGATGTGAAATGTACCAAGTGCTCTAGTCGAAACAGAAAGAGTGAATTTTAAGCAATCAACTTGTTGCCGATGTCTTTCGTTATGTGCCATAAATTATTTGAGGAGGGTGATCTTGAAAACCAATAAAAATTAAAAAATTAAACCCCCATAACAAGGAAGTATACTATTGTATTATAAGAAGCGTTGTGAGAGTTGTTTGAGAAGGGAAAAAGCCCAATAATGCATCCAAGAGGAACTTAAATCTGATCTGATATAGGACGATACACAACAAAGTCACTTTCATCAAATATCTGAGTTTTTGAATCAGCTAAGTCAAATAAAATAAAGTTTCTGATTTGATATGAAAATTGTGCCTTCTGTGGGGATAATACTCAAGTTTGGTAGGAGAGATGTTGATCATATCATCTATGTTGTGCATTGACATTGTACAGTAGATTTGTTATTAGTACTACAACTTCATAGATGAGTAGAAATTTCTAGTGCTATCACTAAAAAGCAAGAACTGTTAGGGAATTTGCACAAATAGTATAAAAACACTATGAACAACTATACATTCAATGAATAGTACATCAATGAATAATATATTCATATTAAATCACAATACTTTTAATAAAATGAATAATACGTCAATATGAACCACATGGATATAACAATGAGCCTTAGCAGGCTTGGACCCATAATTGGCCACTGGATATATCTATATATATATATATATATATATATATATTTTTTTTTTTTTGGCATTTTATATTTCAATTTTTTTAGAATTTATGAAGATGCTCCCACTGAAATTATAAAGAAGGACCCACTATATAAGTTTACTCCTACAAATTGAAAGGCCGTCCCACGTCACATAATTTTCTGGTCCGTCACTGACCCTTAGAATTTAAACAATACAAATAACTCAGCAATAAAATATAATTTCAATAATAGAAATGAAGGAAAAGAATAATGTGAGTTGTACGCAGCAGAATATTTAGAAAGTTTTGATTATTTTAAAACAGATCTTGTGTTTTTCTAACTTTCTTTATTTTAGTAATTAATAAATTAATATCATGCAATATAAAATAAAGCAAAGTAAAGTTAGAGATGAAACTAGGATTTTTAGCGAGGAAACCGCAGTTAATAAAATATGTCAACTGTTTGCATGGGAAAAACTTCGTGGACTGTGCAGTTCAAAGTAAACTGATCCACTATGCTTGAAGCAAAGTACACTGAACTTTACCTCTGGCTCACACCCTATCATTCTACCAAACACCGATTGCTGACAATCCTCTGGCTTTGAGACTCCCTGTCTAACAGCAACTTGACCTCAAACTCATGTTTGATATTTGTAGAAGAGTAGTAGTTAGATTAGACAACACTCCTTGAATGCTCCAACCCTTTCAAAGTGTGATCGCTTTTACTTCTGTTCTTCAATCGTCTGAATTTGATCAATATAGAAGTAGATTTGCTTTTGTTTGATTGATGTAGATGCAATTGTACGATCACGACCAGGATTTGAACACCACAACTCTAAACCCATTATGTGTTTATGTGTATGTGTTTTAGAAAGATGATAGAGAAATCTCTTGGATTTTTTGCAAAAATAATCTTCCTAAGACTTTTTAAAATAATGAAGTTGCGGAACAAAAGCCGTGAATAAACCTATGTGTATGACATGGTTTATACAGAGGTTTGCAAAGTCCTATTCCTTCTGAAAATAAAGGAAATTTCGTGCATAGGACTTGGAAGGAAAGTAGGATAAAAAAGGAATCAAATAGAACACTGTCAGGACTCTTGGAACTGGTTCCCAAATCTTGGTACCGGTTCCCAAAGGACATAATGGAGTTCTCTCGAATCTTAGCTTCTGGAACCGGTTCCCAAATCCAGATAAAGGTTCCTACACTACATAATCCAATTTGAACCTGGATTTTATGTTTTTGGAAACTCTGGAAATATACCTTATAGGTATTTGTGTCCTAAGTGGGAAACGATGTCCTAATGTTTTGGTCTTTCCATTTCAATTATAAACAGTACTTTCCTCTTCTGAACAACCTTCGACTTCACAGAATATTCAACCAATTTTAATTATCAGGAAATAATCACAACACGAATTTTAACTTGCAAATTTTAATGAAACATTTAGAAATTAATCTAGCATGTTCAAGTGTGTGTGTGCAATCTATCTCATCAATTTTGAATCAATTATCAATAAATCATTGTCCAAACCATATTAATCGAAAAGCATCAAGATAAAATTGTCTTTAAGTAATTTTTCTAAGTAAGGTGGCTTTCACTCTAAAGAGCAGACAGCAATTTCCCAATTCAACTTGTCTCCACCTTTCTTTTTACTCATTTAGCTACACTTCAAAGTCTAATGGAAGCTTTCCAACACATCTCAATAGGTAGCCTTTTCAAAAACAAAGAATTTAGCATTTTTCAAAATTTTCTTTTCTTTTTATGCAGAATATATTATTTTTTTTTTTTTGAAACTCTTATGTTTTTTTTTTAAACAATAACCTTTATACCTTTTATAATCAATATACCCTAGTCAACAATTCAAAGATTTTCAATCAAAATTTTCAAATTTGGGCTACTGCACAAAAGGTTATGAATTTAAGAGATTCAAATTTAAAAATCCCTTAATCAATGCAAATCAACTTTCATTATGTTGATTACAAACCAAGAATCTATTTTTAATAAAAAAATCATGTGTCATAATTTGCATTCAAAGATAGATCATAAATTCAGTGGAATAATTTTTTCAAAATATATAATGAAGACTATGATCAGAAACTCAAACCTAAACCAAACCCTAGCAAGTGATCTAATGGTAACAAAATTTTCTTTTAAACACAAGCCATGATCACTGAATTTCATAGGACTCAGTTTGAAGGTGAAGTCCTTCTGGAAATGTGACAACCCGGATTTTTAGAGCTTGATTTGTTTATTTTTAAGGATTATAGAAATTGATTATAGTGGAAGAGTAACCATTTCTATTTCATTTTTTGTGTGTCAGTGAGTTTGGTGAGTTTTATTTGGTTAATGTTTTATTCATGCTACTGATGCATTTTAGTGATAATTGATATGTTAATAAGGCAAGTCATTAATGATAGGTACGAATCCTAGTTGGGTGATGGCTGTAATTGATCTGATGGAAGAGATGAGACGTCAGCCGAATTGGGAAGAGAAGATAAAGATGAGAATGGGCTGGTGGCGAAATTAAAGAGAAAAGAAGAAAGTGAAAAGAAAGAAAAGATTGGAAAGGTGTTTTGGTGGGGCCCACTAAGATATTATGTTGCCAAAGTTCATTGGATTTGGGTTGTTCACGTGGCTGATTGAGTGTTGTTTGTTAAATAATGATGGAAAAAAAAAAATACAAGAATGAAATGACAAGGAGGAGCAGGTTGACTGAATGAAGAAAAGTAAGAAATAATGGGTGGTGGGGCCCACATTAGATATTTGATATTTGGTGGTTAGCTGTGTGTGATGATGTGTCGGTACAAATTTCCTTTATAAATTTGTATCAGCTTTGTGACCTTGGAATGATGTAGAGATAGAAAAATTAGAGGAGGGATAGAGTGAGACGAGAGTTGCAGAGAGAAGCCGAGAGTTGAAGAAGAGTTCGGAGCTTGAGGACTTGGTGATTGTGATACCTCTCGATTTTAGAGCCACGGGTGATCAAGTCCGAACACAGATCCGAGGGATACCAAACAATTAATATGTAAACAAGCAGGAATAAAATAAAAATAAAAACTGAATTAATAATAAAGAATTATGCGCTGAAAGAACTAAAATAAAAATTCCCAAACTTTGAATAATAAATTAATATTATTTAAATCCTCCAAATCCGTACAACTCGGGAATCCATTTAGTGGACCCCTAATAATTCCAATTGATAAATAAATTTACAGAATAAATTTATCCAAAACTAAAATAAGAAAAGAAATCCTATGTAGTCGGAAGAGTGAGTGTCTGTATCTGCATCAACACGATCCAGCTCTAAGCCTGGTAATGTCGAACACCTGAAAAATAATAGAGTGGGTCAGGCCCACATGCAAGTCCTGATCTACTACGATCCAAACAGTAATTCGATAAGCAGATACATCCTAGAAAGGCTCAACAATATCTAGAGTAGTCCATATATGTATATATAGTACACACTATAGGACGCTCACTAGTCCAGTAGGTCTGTCTCAGCCTGAATAGAAGGCAACATGCGAATACGCACCCTAAGGTGGGCATGAGTACCTAGACCTACCAGGGAACAACACCTATGTCCAGTTATCCATCCTAGGCGATATACACGCCCTAACCATGGTCCTGAGACTCAAGCTCATACCATGGCACATATTATAAATATATAAAGTCCGTACTCCTCCTAATACAGAATATCATCTATCTGTGTAGTGGTCTGATATCTATATAAAAATAAATCCATTCTAAAACCATAGCAGATCATTCAATTCACAATTGATATGACACATGTAGGTGATGGACTTAACCTTTATGGTTAATCCATACCTGAATCCAAATTGGGTTAGACTTAGTGTTTTGAACTAAACCATTCCCAATATAGGTAGGTCTTAGTGTTTTAAACTAAGCCATCCCTAATATGACACCGTCCCATACTGGTTCATATACATCCATATAAGTGAGACTTAACCTTTTTATGGTTAATCCAACTCATTCCAAATTAGGTAGGACTTAGTGCTTGAACTAACCCTTACCTAGTATGTCACCGTCCCATACCGGTACATACAATCCTCCAGTTAACATAGTTGATAAATCAATATTAAATAACCATCAACCATTATCCATAATATGCACAAGACAAGTTAATTCATGTACATATATAATAGACATTTAATGCAGAGCCCAAAATCCAACTCCAATAATGTAAATTGATACATAATTTACACACATTTACATTCTCCAACATAATCCC